TTGCCAAAAAATTAAAAAAAAAAAAAAAAAAAAAAAAAAAAACTTACGGACCCCAAACTTTTGAGAAGTATCATATATACATATTTTAAAGAGGTCATGAAATGAGAAACCAAAATTCTCTTGATCTTTTAACATATAAGAGGTCAGTGTACTATAAAAACATCCTGTAAGTTTCAGAACTCAAAACTGTCTTGTTAGTCTAAAAACTTCTTATATTGAAGCCAGTCTGCCAAAACAACAGCTTGTGAAATGTATGAAGTAATAGTATGGCTAAAAACAGCCTCTGCAGAAGATCAACGCCTGCTTCTACAGCGCTGCCTGTTTAGCCCCGCCCACCGATTCGCACATGTAGTGTAAATAACGAGGAACCAAACGATAAAGATGCTCCGAAGACAAGACAACGCTGTTCAGTGCCAAGCTGTGGAAACAGTCTTTGCATTACACTTCCTTCTGATCTGAACGTTAGGAAAGAGTGGATGAACTTTATTTTTAATGAAGTTCCAGACCACGTCAGGAAGAACTTGGTCCTTTGTTCACTACATTTTACCGCGGATTCATTTACAAACAAGGCACAATTCGACGTGGGATTTTCAGAAAGATTGAAACTAAAAGATGATGCTGTGCTGACTATATCGGATCTGACAGTAATGTCGCAACACACAAGTGTGAGTAACTGTTTTTATTACGTGATCACTATTGCTTTGTCTATTAAACAGACCGTTGGATGCGAGTATTTATGCGTTTTTAACCTAAATCACTGCAGCGTCTGTCTGTGAAAGATGTAGGCTGTCAAACATGCACAACTATTAACCAATCACAGCAGTGGGCGTTTACTTCCGAGTCTACAATACGCCATACCTATTCAAATGGAGCGTTCTGATGAGGGAGGTCAAAAACAGGACAGAAAATATCCTATTACTTCTAAATTATGTTTTTTGATGTAAAAATCTTGATAACATTATAAGTGGACCTCAGAGAACTGTACAAAATAAAAAAAACAAAGGCGGTTCATGACTCCTTTAATATTCCAATGGTTCAAGAAAGCCTGCTGTTAAACAAATTTTATGAATATCTATCAACCCGTTTCATTTATTGGACAGATATACACTGAACAAAATTATAAACGCAACACTTTTGTTTTTGCCCCCATTTTTCATGAGCTGAACTCAAAGATCTAAGACTTTTTCTATGTACACAAAATGCCTATTTCTCTCAAATATTGTTCACAAATCTGCCTAAATCTGTGTTAGTGAGCACTTCTCCTTTGCCGAGAAAATCCATCCACCTCACAGGTGTGGCATATCAAGATGCTGATTAGACAGCATGATTATTGCACAGGTGTGCCTTAGGCT